TTAAGTGTTGTTTATTAGGCTGCTTATATACTGCGAGTGTTCACACTGGGGGCGGTACCGTAATTAACCAACTCTTTAAGTGTTGTTTATATACTGCGAGTGTTCACACTAGGGGCGGTACCGTAATTAACCAACTCTTTAAGTGTGAACGCAACAAACCGAGTAATTACGGTACCGCCCCTAGTGTGAACACTCGCAATTGAATAGGTTGCTGCGAGTGTTCACACTAGGGGCGGAATTGCGAGTGTTCACACTAGGGGCGGTACCGTAATTAACCAACTCTTTAAGTGTGAACACAACAAACCAAGTAATTACGGTACCGCCCCTGTTCAAGCAGGACGAGGTTGTTTATATACTGCGAGTGTTCACACTAGGGGCGGTACCGTAATTAACCAACTCTTTAAGTGTGAACGCAACAAACCAAGTAATTACGGTACCGCCCCTAGTGTGAACACTCGCAGTATATAATTCTACTGCGAGTGTTCACACTAGGGGCGGTACCGTAATTAACCAACTCTTTAAGTGTGAACGCAACAAACCAAGTAATTACGGTACCGCCCCTAGTGTGAACACTCGCAGTATATAATTCAACCTCGTAACGCAACAAACCAAGTANAACACTCGCAGTTGAATTATATACTGCGAGTGTTCACACTAGGGGCGGTACCGTAATTAACCAACTCTTTAAGTGTGAACGCAACAAACCAAGTAATTACGGTACCGCCCCTAGTGTGAACACTCGCAGTATATAAACAACCTCGTCGCAGTAGTATATATAAAAGCAGGACGAGGTTGTTTATATACTGCGAGTGTTCACACTAGAGGCGGTACCGTAATTACTTGGTTTGTTGCGTTCACACTTGAAGAGTTGGTTAATTACGGTACCGCCTTACTTTGTTTGTTGCGTTCACACTTAAAGAGTTGGTTAATTACAATTCAAGCAGGACGAGGTTGTTTATATACTGCGAGTGTTCACACTAGGGGCGGTACCGTAATTACTTTGTTTGTTGCGTTCACACTTAAAGAGTTGGTTAATTACGGTACCGCCCCCAGTGTGAACACTGCGGTACCGTAATTACTTTGTTTGTTGCGTTCACACTTAAAGAGTTGGTTAATTACAATTCAAGCAGGACGAGGTTGTTTATATACTGCGAGTGTTCACACTAGGGGCGGTATTACATATACTGCGAGTGTTCACACTAAGGGCGGTACCGTAATTACTTGGTTTGTTGCGTTCACACTTAAAGAGTTGGTTAATTACGGTACCGCCCCTTATACTGCGAGTGTTCACACTAGGGGCGGTACCGTAATTAACCAACTCTTCAAGTGTGAACGCAACAAACCAAGTAATTACGGTACCGCCCCTAGTGTGAACACTCGCAGTATATAAACAACCTCGTCCTGCTTTTATATATACTACTGGGACGAGGTTGTTTATATACTGCGAGTGTTCACACTAGGGGCGGTACCGTAATTGACCAACTCTTTAAGTGTTGGGACACTTAAAGAGTTGGTCAATTACGGTACCGCCCCTAGTGTGAACAACACTTAAAGAGTTGGTCAATTACGGTACCGCCCCTAGTGTGAACACTCGCTTGGCGGTACCGTAATTACTTTGTTTGTTGCGTTCACACTTAAAGAGTTGGTTAATTACGGTACCGCCCCTAGTGTGAACACTCGCAGTGTTCACAATAGGGGCGGTACCGTAATTACTTGGTTTGTTGCGTTCACACTTAAAGAGTTGGTTAATTACGGTACCGCCCCTAGTGTGAACACTCGCAGTATATAAACAAATTCAAGCAGGACGAGGTTGTTTATATACTGCGAGTGTTCACACTAGGGGCGGTACCGTAATTACTTGGTTTGTTGCGTTCACACTTAAAGAGTTGGTTAATTACGGTACCGCCCCTAGTGTGAACAACACTTAAAGAGTTGGTCAATTACGGTACCGCCCCTAGTGTGAACACTCGCTTGGCGGTACCGTAATTAACCAACTCTTCAAGTGTGAACGCAACAAACCAAGTAATTGAGGCTGCTTATATACTGCGAGTGTTCACACTAGGGGCGGTACAGTAATTACTTGATTTGTTGCGTTCACACTCAAAGAGTTGGTTAATTACGGTACCGCCCCTAGTGTGAACACTCGCAGTATAACCAATTCAAGCAGGACGAGGTTGTTTATATACTGCGAGTGTTCACACTAGGGGCGGTACCGTAATTACTTGGTTTGTTGCGTTCACACTTAAAGAGTTGGTTAATTACGGTACCGCAGTGTTCACACTGGGGGCGGTACCGTAATTAACCAACTCTTTAAGTGTGAACGCAACAAACAAAGTAATTACAATTAACCAACTCTTTAAGTGTGAACGCAACAAACCAAGTAATTACGGTACCGCCCAATTACGGTACCGCAGTGTTCACACTGGGGGCGGTACCGTAATTAACCAACTCTTTAAGTGTGAACGCAACAAACAAAGTAATTACAATTAACCAACTCTTTAAGTGTGAACGCAACAAACCAAGTAATTACGGTACCGCCCCTAGTGTGAACACTCGCAGTATATAAACAACCTCGTCCTGCTTGAACAACCAAGTTATACTGCGAGTGTTCACACTAGGGGCGGTACCGTAATTAACCAACTCTTTAAGTGTGAACGCAACAAACCAAGTAATTACGGTACCGCCCCTAGTGTGAACACTCGCAGTATAACTTCAACCTCGTCCTGCTTGAAGTGTTCACACTAGGGGCGGTACCGTAATTAACCAACTCTTTAAGTGTGAACGCAACAAACGAAGTAATTACGGTACCGCCCCTAGTGTGAACACTCGCAGTTCAAGCAGGACGAGGTTGTTTATATACTGCGAGTGTTCACACTAGGGGCGGTACCGTAATTAACCAACTCTTTAAGTGTGAACGCAACAAACGAAGTAATTACGGTACCGCCCCTAGTGTGAACACTCGCAGTAT